GACAGATCCAGTAATTAGAATTTACATGCTTCCTGTGGAGGAGAAAGCATGGCAAAAAGGGATATTAGACAAGATTACTCAAAGGATCCAATTAAAAGCAGGCGTCCTAGTTCAATGCCCTTTTAAACTGGTGGGTTAGGGGTCATTTGTAACTATCAGCACTTAGAGCAGTAGTGGGCTTGGTTTTTGAAGAGAAGCCTCAGGTCTTCCAGATGTTCACAGGAGTAGCTTTCTTCCTTTGGGTGCTCTTTCTCTTCAGATAAGTTAGGTGGGGCTGGCCTTATCCCATGAGACTCAGGGTCACCCGGGGTTCCTCACAGGAGATGGAGATGTCTGTGGACATGGGCACTGCAGGTTGCCCTTGGATCCTTCAGTCCTCTTCATCAGAGAGGAAGGTGAGGGTTTTGGCTGGCCTGGCCCCTCTGGGTGTACATCGGCCACCTGACACCCGACCCCTGGAGCAGGGCCCAGGTGTAGTCACCTGACCAATTTCCTTATATTAGCAGGAACTTTTCTCTGAGAAACTAGCTTACTGTGGCCATGAGGTTAATGGCTGACATCTTTCCCTTGGGTATGCTTAAAGCAATGCCAGCTGTGACAGCCATAAATTTTGGTCTTTTTTTTTTCTCAGCCCTTCTCTCCCCTGCATTTAGATCCTGACTGTTGAACACAGAAGAGGCTGAATTTAGGAACCCTCTACAAACTTACCAGATCTTCTAAAAAGTTGGCCTGCTTTTTGCATTGTTGGGTACTAGTCACTGAAAAAGGAATCTGGACCAGTAGTTCCCTCTACTCCTGAGATCCTCTCGGGCAAGATAGCTGTAGGTCAGGATGAGACACTCCTCCACTTTATATATGTCTTGCAGGGCTGAAAGCTATGAGGAACATGGGGAGGGCCCTCTAAAATACTGGGTCTCACTGAGGAGCTGGACTTGGAGTTCAAGTCACTTGAAGAGAATGCGACTGATTTATTGGCCTGAGGATTATAAGGAGGAGGGTGAAGTAGAGAAGGCACCTAGTATGGTTATTTTCATTAAATAGGTGTGAGAGACACAAATCCCCAAGACAGAGGGCAGCTGAGGACAGGCTCATCAATGACATAAACTTCCTCTCCTTTGGAGACTTGTTTCATTTTTTGTTTCTGGTACCAGGGATCTAACTCAGGACCTTGCACTTATGAGGCAGGTGGCAGAACCATGGAGCTAAATCCCTGGCCCAGACACTTCTTTACCATAGTTCTTGGACCTTTTCAGAGACAGACATAAAAGACTGAGCACAAGGACTCCACACCACTTTCCTTGCCTTTTGCAGGAAAGATCTAATTTAAGAACAGTCTACAATGTAGACTGCCATTCTGTACCCACCTCTTACCATTTCCTAGTTTACACTGGACTCAAAAAGCATTGCAATAGAAGGCAAGTTGCTCTTTTTTCAGACCATCAAGGTGAAAGTGTTTCCAACTTTTAAGGACACAGCCTAATGGCAAGGTTGTGGGGTCCGGAGGGTGCTTCCCACGGAACATCATGGGGCCTATGGTGAGACCACGTCTTGGGTCCTTCAGAGGGCAGAAGGATGCAGGTCTGTTGAGTCCCAGAAGCATCCTTCTTGTGACTCGACTCTACCACCAGATAGCAGGTGCAGCAGGTGGCACCGGTGCCTTTTTTTTTTTTTTCCTCAGAACTCTCCATACCTGGTAGCCCAGGAGAACTCCTTAATGAGAAGGGTGGAGCCTCAGGGCTCTATCTAGCCATGTGAGAAACAATAGCACTCATATTCATCCTGATTATAAAACTGTGGTAATTACTTTAAGACCATAGAGGTAGAAGCCCCCTACCCCCCAGCATTTATGAGGTGAAAAAAAAAAAAAAAAAAAAAGGAAAAAAAAAAACCCCACAAAAACTTTAGAAGTTCTAAGTACAAGGACAGGGTCTATTATCTACTGACCCCAGATCTACTTTTGTGTACTCACAGCTGGTTGAAGTGACTGTCATTGGTTGTCCCCCACTCAGGCTGTCAGGCACATATTTCCAAACAACCTGAATTTTAGTTAGAAGAAACAGGGAGGGATCTAACCCATTCTGGAGTAGAAGAGGGGTGGAGGCACCTACATTTCTTGGAAGCAGAAGTTTTAGTTCTCATTCTAAAGGTGAGATTTCCCGGTGCAGATGAGACTCTGAGAAAAAAAAGGGGCAGGCTGGGGTAGGTGGCTACTCAAGCAGGAGATCAAGTTACCAAAAGCTATTCTTTACGGTTGAGAATGCTAAACAAAGTACTGGGGAGGGAAAAACAAGGAGGTAAAAAGGCATACGAAGCCCTAGGTCACACACATGGAACTGAACAGTCCATTCTGCGACTGGGTTAGTACTAGGCTCTCTGGCAGCCTGCTACCTGTCCAAGCTTGGAGGACACCCACGGGTTGCCATTAGGGCACAAATCCACTCCTGCACGAAGTGGCACAAGCCTGCCTTCGAGGTGTGGCGGTGGGGAGAGGCACAAGGCAAGCAGTATGACATGAAGCAGGACGCAAGTAGCCAGAGAGGGGCTGCTCGTTTTTCTCACCTGCAAACAAAACAACTGCTCTTACCTCCTGGCTGGGCTCACCAAGACTGTTACCGAGGTCTTTCTGGGGTGCCAGGGGCTCCTTCTAGAGACTTTTCCCAGATTCCTGTCCTGAATGAAGAACTGGACAAAACAAGCACAGAATGCAGTAAGGTTTTACATTTATAAAAGTAGGAAAAGAAGTTTGCTCTGCAGAATGAGTATGGCCAATCAAGGTAGAAAGGGTATGCTCTGCAGGGTGAGAGAGGGCCACTGAAGGAGCTCACAGTGACCTACATTTACAAACTTTTTTTTTCTTTTTTTTTTGAGGCAGGGTCTCACTATGTATTTGAGACTGACCTGGAACTCACTGTGTAGCCCAGGCTGGTCTTGAACTCATAGTGATTCTCCTGCCTTAGCCTCCTGAGGGCTGGGATTACAGGCGTGCGCCACCTCGCCTGGCTATACAAACTTTTGATAAGGAAAACAAATTCTTCAATGACAAGGTGATTTGTGAATCTGAACATTTAAGATTTTACTCCCAAGGTAAATGTGATAGCACAAAGTAAGTTGTTACTAGGGGTAATAAATACTAAATTGTTTGAATACTATTTAAATGAATAAGAGTCAAGTGCCGTGGCTTATCCATGTAGTACCAGCTACTTGGGAGTTTGGGGCCAGCTGGACAACACAGTGAGTCTCGTCTCTTTAGTGAAAAAACAAAACAACAAAAATCCAAAATATCTACCCCTAAAGCTCAAACCCAGAAAATTGTTCCTGTAAACTTGTTCTAACTTGATGATGTTTAACTACAAATCTGTGACAGATGCTCAGAGCATCGCCTAAGTACCAGCTCCAGTATATGGAAGTGCTCGGGACACAACCCAGAAGAGCCAGTCTTGAAGGCTTGTGTCATTGTGTATACTCACTGTGGACGGAAGTCAGGCAGTCCGGAACCTACACTTCAGCATTTCTAACAATTCAGAGCAAATCAGATGTTAATTAGATGCTAACTACCCTTTACACATTTCCAAGTTTTGATTACTGGAGTATATATGACTACATATACTATTTAATATTTATTTCATTCCGTAGGGAAGATATGCTGAAAATTTTATGTAGGAAAATAAGCTCACACACACACACGATTCTATTTTATAAACTGCCCATATCTACCTCATAAAAAAAAAAGGAGTCATCAAATGATCCAACATAGTAATAAAAACTGTGATACAATTTTCCTAATGAAACACTACAATCTCTTTATGTACATTTTTTCACTAGTAGGCACCATTTCATGATTATTTTGTTGCTACTGTTGTTGAGACAGGGTCACACTACATATTTTGGGCTGGTCTCGAAGTCACTATGTAGTCCAGGCTGGCCACTTGTTGAGACAGGGTCACACTACATATTTTGGGCTGGTCTCGAAGTCACTATGTAGTCCAGGCTGGCCTCAAATATTCCAAATTCTGGGATTACAGGTGTCTGCCACTACACTCAGTTCATTTCTTGATTTTTATTCATGATACCATACTTGCTTAGAAAAAGCATGAAAACAATTGAAAAGTGTGAACTACTATATAAATGTAAGATATGTGTTTAAAAATATGAATTTACCTTGTACCAGTGATTTGAGTACTGTCTGACAAATTTAATGCCATATCATTTATCACTTTACTAAATCACATCAAATACGACACAAAGACAATTTGTTTAAGAAAAGTTTTACTAATGTGTTAATATTTCAGCAAAGTTATTGCAACGGGTTTAAAAGGCAGACACACTATTATAGGCTATAAAGTAATAAAGGAGTTTTATACAATTAAAATATTAAACAGACCTATGAGATTTACCGAATAACTACCAGATCCAGAAAAAAAATTAAATCTGAAAAATTAAATCTAGTATTAGCACCTACAATATCTCTGAAAATAAAACTTTTACCTGCTTCATTATTTTCTAATATATTTCTTAACTTTCTCTCATATACATTGCTTTCCAACCTCCCAAAGAATGAAGGCCATCAGAAGCCCAATGCTAAGAGCATACAGACAAAAGAGGAGCTAGAAATAGACTCAGACTTGAGGGTTTAACTCGGAAATCACTTAACTTTAACCAATCATAAGATTTCTGTGCACTGAATACTGTATATGAGGAGCCCACAAATCATAACATTTGTCAGTAGGGTTAAAAATTAGCAAATATACAGTATCACTCCTATCAAATTTCTAAGTTATAATTATAACAAAACCATAGTTACAATATGTATTACACTTGTTTGTTACACACTCAGGGACACAGCAAAGACATTATGGGTTTGAGGGTTTAGCATCCACTTTATTGTGCTTACTTCTTTGTGTAATGAATAAGCAACACAGACCACATCTTCCCAACACTCAAGGTAATGCAATAATATAAAAGTCTCCAAAGAAATTACTGGAAATTCCATTAAATACTGCTTTAATTAGGAATAGTTGCTATAATGAGACAAATCACATACATTATTTTCTTCATTGAGCTTCGGTTTGAATCAATCTTAGGATTTGAATCATAGCAACATGTGTAGTACTTTGAAATTTGGGAGCTGTACAGGCAAAACCACAGATATACATACCTTACCTGAAACAAAGCCTTTCATCACCTTAGGGGAACAAGACCGAACACTGGCTAAGACTGGACTTGTTGAAGTCAAAAGCCATCTTGGGAACTGGACGGAGGAATAAAGTGGTACTGGTGTAGGTAAGAAACAAAGCTGCACTGGCTGACCAACTGCATATTTTACTAAATGGCTTTGAATTTAAAAAATGAAATGCTTCATTGTGTTTTCTCAGAGACTAATCAAAAGATTACAGAGTCCTATCCAATTTGGAGACACAAAGTGGATGCTGAGAGACTAGAGGTCACCTCAGGCATGGAATTTTAGAAAGTTAGTCCTTGGAGTAAATGGCACCATGGCTCTGGCAGCAGATACAAAGGAATGATGCTCTGGAGAGGAGGTAGGGACACTCTGTGATCAGTCAGTGGACAGATGAGGGTCCCAGTGGGAGGTGGGATCTACAATTAGAGGGAAAAGGACAAATTTTAGAAAGCAATGCAGAAAATCTCTAAAATTATCTTTCTTCCATCAACGGATATGAGCTTATAATAGATTTATAATAGGTTGTAGGTTATATTTTACCTAACAACCGACTTGAGTGTGTATGGCTTGTCTAAATTAGTATGCAGCTCAACAGTTCAGAAATCATGCCCTGTAAATTTAGACCTCTGGCTAACCATGTCATGAAAGGTAGCAGAGCACAGGGTCAAGCGTCCACTGTCTGGGTGGGCTGCGTTGGCTGCTACCTACTAGCTGTTTAATGAACAAGGATTAAGCTCTCTATGCTACAGTTTTGTCACCTCGAAAACAGTGCAAACTTGTAGAGTTGCTGTGATGATAAAATCAGTGATTTAAAACAGTGCTGGTACTTGTGTGCCAACAAATGTTAGATACAGTGGTCCTCGGCTCATGAACTTTTAATTCTTTCCAAGATTCCGGTCACAAACCAAACTGAACGAGAACCAAATGAGATTTCCTCATAAGGGGAATACTGAACCTAACTACTGACTGATTTGATTCTCATCTAATTTGGTTTGCAACCAGAACTGTAGAAAGAATTAAGTTCATGAACGGATGTATCACTGTATTTTTATCATTCACTTATTTATTATGATAGAATAATGTATTTCATTTTTATATTAAGATAAGTCTTAATCCAGAGAATAAAACATCAGTGCATCTAATAACAATAAAGATATCTATGTGATATTGAAATATTAAAAAGAGCAAAATATTTTTGTTTAAAGCTCTTTTTAAAAATAAAGGCCATATGCTGGGGGTGCAACTCAGTGGTACAGTGCTTCCCTAACTTGTTTAAGGCCCTGTCTGGGTTCAACCTCTACCACCACAAGGAGAAATAAGACTAAACAAAACTAACTGCCAACTCCATGATTAAGTTTATTCTTTTGTTAAATCCTTAATTTAATTTCCACATAATACTGCAAAGTGGAGACACTTTACAGAGTTAAGAAAAGTGGCAGAATTGAATAAATTATTCTTACACTCCTCCTTACCCCCAAAATCTCAGCCCACACTGGATCCTGGAAACACATAGCTCTGAAAACTAAATTGTGTTGAACAAAAATATTTGCATTCATGAAACTATCCAGAAGTTCCTAATGTAAATCTTTCCCATTTCAAAATTTCCCAGTTGTCTGACTATTGATAGATTAATCTCTGGTGTGTAATTGCTCAAAACCCCGCACCACCTCAGAAAAACATCCTCTTAAGCAATAATAGCTGCAAAATGAGTCATGACAAATGGGCTGTGCCAAGTCAATGCAGCTGCAATTGATAAAACAAACTTACTCCACTAGCATGTAACAAAAACCACACAGAAGTTCCTGGTTGCTTGTTTGAGAAATATCAACTTGGAAACTGTAAACGAGGAAGTGTATGGACAAGTAACACTATGAGTTCCAAAACAAAGCCTTCTAAAAGAAATAAAACACATGGCAAGGATGTCATTATTTAGATCTCAGGCTTTCAAGAACTCAGGTGTCACATTAGTGCTAAAAGAAGGCAGTTTTGGAATGATGGATGATTTGTAGGATTTAATAGATGGAACAGGAGCAGAAAAAAATGTACTTTGAAAAAAGGTACTGAAAGAGAAAAGAGAAGGATAAACCCTGAGAATATTCTGATAAACTATGTTCCTGCTGCTGCAGAGAAAGCATCGTGTAAAAAGCAGCCTTTGTGGTTAATCAGACTTAGGTTCGTACTGCAACACTTGTTAACTGTGTGACTGTGACAGTGCTCATACTTCGGTTTGCTCACCTGTAAAATGGGGAGAACACTCTGCAGCGCTCTTGTTGAGATTTAGAAGTACCATTAGCACAATATCCACCCCACTGTAGGCACTCTTGAAATAGTAACTATTATTACTGTTGCCCTAGAGATGAATACATGTGATTTGGTGCATTCCGTCTGTGCTGCTTTTTATTTAGCAACGGCTATCTGTAAGCCAAGATAATTACAGCATATATATCGAGAGCATGAAATTGGCAGAAATGGTGAAGTACCATTTTCTGTCCCTTACAAGGCTCGACAAATACACTTAGGAACTCAACAAAATTCTACCTACAGATTCTCAGAAGTATTATCTAATTTATTTTTTTCCCTCATGAAAGGACTTTATCTGGATATACACAAACATTAACATTCTAAATAAAAGAATGAAATTTTTGGTTCTAGCCATTAGATAAAGCTTCTTCTATAGCATCCGGAGGCCACTTTAAGTAGAGTATAATGGGGGAAATGAGATTTAAATTGAATACTGAATAGAAGTTGGGTTATATACACATTTTAGAGACTAAGGTAATGCAGTGATTAACTTAAGGTAATTCAACAAATATAACCCTATTTAGCTGCATGATTTAACCACTTTATCACATAAGGAAGATTTCCAAAACCTTCACAGAAGCCAAATAGTTTCATACTTACCTTTAAACTGATGTTTTATCTTCCACTGCTCATGCCTCTGTCTTCATAAATGGTAATTTCAATCTAAACAACATGGCTGTTAAGAACATACAGTATAGAACGTAACACAGAAAGGACCATGGCAAGATGATATTCTGTACACTTTGCTTTTTAACAAAAAACTTCCTACTTAAGTTAATCGTGCTTTCTCTACTTTGCTGAGTTTTTTTTTTTTTTTTTTTTTTTTTTTTTTTTTTTTTTTTTTTTTTTTTTTT